CGCCGCCGCCGCCGCCGCCGCCGCACGCTATCCAACGATGATACTCTTGGTATCCAGCCAAAATTCGCAGTTTCCACTCTAGGGCCCTTTTCTCCTAAGCATCCTTCCTTTCGGCTCGCAAGAGCGTAAAGGGGGGGGTGGGGCAATAGTGCTCCTCCACCATGGATCAAGCAAGAGAAATCTAACCGAGCTTTTGCAGCCCACGTGCTTTTGCACGGGTCCTCCAGCTCGAACCCTCTCGCAATGAGAGTGCTGGTGGGACCAGCGGTCGCGCTTACCTGATTTCGTTTGTATTGCTTGATTCGAGAGTCGTAGCCGCCTTGGTCCAGTGAGGGCTCACACGACCTTCCTTGGAAGTCTGAGGATATATGCGCGGCAGGCAGGCAGGCAGGCAGGCAGGACGAGGCTCGAGTGCTCGAGTGCTCAAGTCATCAGCCTGACGCTCGCTGACACTCCTCACTGTCCTCCTCTTCATCCCACTCCGACTGCACACCGCATCCAGCCGCTCCACACACAAATGTATCAAGAGACGAAATAGCATGCACTGATGAGAGCAAAAGAGGGGTGACTAAATGTATGCATGTGCGTGAAGAAGGAACGTCATGACCACGTCTGGGCATCTGCGCTACTGCCGACTGCCAGGCATCATGCTGCTGGCCCAAGCTCCAAAAGCCGGCTGTTGTTGCTGCTGCTGCTGTTGTTGTTGTTGAAATGGCGCATGCTGCTGGGTATACGATTGCTGCAAGAATGGCGAAGCAGGTGACTGCTGTTGTTGAAAGAATGGCGAAGCGCTAAAAGATTGTTGAGGAGAGGCGGGCGATGACATTCCCGCTCCGCCCGCGCCCGCGCTAAACGCTTGTTGTTGATGCATTGGCGAAGACATTCCCATCCCGCTCGCACCGAACGCTTGTTGTCCCATCATGCTAGCTTGGTAAGCTCCCGTCTGCTGCTGCTGCTGCTGCTGAGAAAAGAAGGGATTGGCAGACTGTGCACCTACGCTGGCGCTGCGCGCATTAGGTCCAAAAGCCTGAGCACCGAGGTTTGAAAAGTCGTACGTCTGAGCATGCACAGGTGCGTGATGAGGAGGAGGAGGAGGAGCTGCTGCTGCTGCTGATGCGTAGCCCATGCCCGCTGCTCCCGTCCACGTGCCGTTCGTGCCTAGCGGACTAGAGGGATAGACAGCTGCTTGAGCTTGCATGGCTGCCCAAGGGTTCATCTGTAGAGGAGGTTGGGCCGTCTGCGCTGGACCTTCCTGCAACGAGATCAGATCGTCAAAGACGCTCGAGCGGGATGATGTGCTAAGTGCGGATGAGGGTGTTGGTGTCGATGTTGAAGCGGATGGGGACGCAAATTGTGCGGGACTTGCTGCTGCTGCTGCATGACCGCCATTGTTCATGAGCGCTGCGCTGGAAGATGCTCGTGGTGGTGCTCCACCAGGTACGGTCAAGCCGGAACTGCGCGTGGGAAGCGCAGGTGGAGGCGAGGTGGGCTTGGCTGAGCTGCCAACGTTGCCATGCTGAGGTATCGGAGCGGTCCTGCTTCGCTCGATAGACGGACCCGCAGATGGAGCTGAAGGAGGAGCGGGTGTTGGTGCGGTGGCGCTATGAGCTGGCGAAGGGGAGCGAGCTCGAAAAGGTGAAGGTGGTGGACGCAAGGCAGATGCATCCTTCTGAGGAACCGGCGGCGGTTTGCGCTCCATAAAGACGCCCTGATACTTTTTCACAATAAATCGTTCAAGCTCGCTGGATTGTAAGAGGCAGCCGGGAATGGTTGATGAGCCGAGCCAGCTCGATTGTAAATACCGTGGGGGCAATCCCCTCCCCCAACTAACCTGTGCCTCTCGCTCTCTTCCACATTCGCAGGCGGTCTATTCCGCTTCTCGTCTGGATTCCACTTGGCATTGCTGCGCGTATTTCCCACCTCTTTCATGCGGTCCACTTGCTCCCTAGTCCAAGTGTCCAGCGTGAGCGATTTGACCTTTGTGATGTGGCTGAATGCGGATGCGGGTGCGGGTGCGGTAGCAGCAGTCAGCTCTGGAAGAAGGCGTACGCTAGCCAGGCTCTTCTCTGCACTCCTACGCGCCCGCTCTCCCGTCTTGCGCCCATCGCCACCACTCACGTTCCCAGCTTTCGATGCACGCCAGCACACTGTACGCATATAAAGATGCCCAGGTTCCAACTTGCCCATCGAGGAGATCTGCCCCCGCAATCTGCGCACTGGTCATTTCCAGGTTCCTTGAGCAGCTGCACCAATTGTCTAGCATGACGTTCCGCTGCCGCTTTCGTGTTCATGATGAGGGCGGCGTGCTTACAGGGACAGCCAAAGAGAGTTGGAAGCTGCGAGCGAGAGTGAGGTGATTGGACAAGGTTGGAGAGAAGCGAGAGCAAGCGTTTAGGGTTGTGGATTTGGTGAAATGGGACGCACGCACGCACCCACGCACACGCAACATGTTGCGGCAAGCGTCCTGACCACCGCTGATGCGACATCGAGCCGGCGGCGAACATCACATTCAAGATTGCGCAATCACGTGTCGAAGCGCGCGCTGAACGCCGCGTACGAGATACACGCGCGCGATACCCAAGTTGAAACTCCACGCGCACGCACGGCTGAGCTACAGCCATGCTAACCCTAACCCATCCCCCACCTCCCACATACTCGCCCTCGCCTTCCCACCCCCCACACCCGTCCACGCTCGCAGCTAGCTGCGCAAGCGTGCTCATCTCCAACATGTTCGCTCAAACCCCTCGTCCTCATTCCCCCATTCGCGCATCCCGCTCTCCTTCCCCGTCGCGCAAACAGCGACTGGAGCCTGGCGGGACCGGCACGACGACGCGAAGACTAGGAGATGGCAAAGTGTCAGAGGGCAAACGATTGTTCGAGGATTTGGCTCGAAGGGCAGGGACGCCCAAAGTCAAGTCGGAGTCCAGCACCGGCACCAGCTTGAAGGGTGCTGGGATGTTGGGCGACAAGACCAACAAGGGTGGCAGGAGCAGTAGCAAGGATGGCGAAGAGCAGGGAGGATCGCCTTCGAAGAGCAGGTCGGCAAGTCCTACGAAGCTTGGCGCCAGCAATACAACGAGTCGCACGCTGCAAACGCCGGCCAAATCTAGCAACAAGAGCAACGGCAACAGCAACGGCACGACATTCTTTGAAACACCAGCGGCGCAGACTGGTAAAGCGGGTGCAGCGAGAGCGCGCATGGCAGAAGCTTTGGAAGCTCGTCAACCGATCAAGGAAGTGGAGGAAGAGGAAAGCATCGCTGCTGCCAAGCAGTCCGCCTTTGCTTGGCCAGCGGATGATGCGCCAGATGACGCTTGGCCAGAGATCGAGTACATGCCTGCGCCCGTCGAGAGTGGGTATGGCAACGCTGCGCATGTATGCTTGACCCCCAGCCGCTGAACCTCTCATCACACCCACACCCACACTCTCCAGTTGCCCATTCGCTACCTTTTGAGCTGGACGGACTTCCTAGAGCAGATGAGCTTGCTCGCAGTCTATGCAGCATGCGATTCGGTGGATTCGTGGGCGAGGTAGAGCAAGAGGATGCGCGCAATCTACCTTTGTTGCAGCAGCAGCAGCATCAAGAGGCGTCCTGGCTAGTGCCTACTCGCAAAAGCAAGGAGTCCGAGCAAGACTTGCCATGGCCTAATCGAAAGATTGCTGCGAATCTGCCCAAACCCGCACCCGCACCCGCACCCGCACCCGCACCCGCACCCAAACAGACGACGATCGCGATTCGTTCGGCGCGAGCAGCCAGGAGCATTGCGGGCGCTTCCTCCAGCTCAAAGGTGAAGGAGGCGAGCAAAGCGAGGGCGCGTACCGCTTCGAATGCATCAAAAGTGACAAACACAAACGGTTTGGTGTCAAGAGGTGCTTCATCGACGACGGCCGTCGCACCTTTACGCGCAAGGTCCATCACTCCTCGAGCAGCGCCGACAAAGAGTGTGAGCTTGGGCAAATCTTGCGTATCCTCCTCTCGACTTGCAAACGTGCCGCGCTGCAAAGCTGCATGGAAAGAGGAGCAGAATCGTCTAGGTGCAGACGAAGCTTTGCATGCTGATTTGAGCGACTTTATGAACGATCAGCATGCGCGGTGGGTGGATGAAAAGTTGCGAGAGACGAGCATGAATGCGCAAGAGGGCTTGTTGGAGATGTAGAGGAGGAGGAGGAGGAGCAGGTCTGCGCATCGAGAGCAGTTGTGAGTCAGCGTCTGCGAATGCGAGGCGGAGTGCGAAGGGACATTTGCCTCGCACCGCAACCGCAACCGCAACCGCACGCCTCTCCCTCCCTCAACGCAACGCTGACACGCATCGCTCCTGACTGATCATCGTGACGGGCAAACCAGTCATCATCTACAGCCATCACACACATACACACACATACACACATACGCACACACAACCACATCAAAGATTCAAGCACAGCCCATTCAGCATCCCCAGCCACTTGTCATCCCCATTCCCTTGGGCGCACACTTCAATCG